AGAAAACTCAGTGGGTTTAACTGTCAAAATTATCAAAGCAGCCTTTGTGATGTGTATTAATTATTATTTCTGTCCTGTCCAGGAATCTAGCAAAGACCGAATGAAATCTCTGATGATCAGCTCAGTAGTTAAGTTGTTTATTATTGTAGTTTTATTTTTGACAGAAGAAGATCGGATCAGAGATTGGCTGGTATCCTAAGTGAGAGCATAAAGCACATACAGGAAAATAGGGGGATCAGGGCCAGTCAACATGGGCTTATGAAGGGCAGGTCCTGCTTGAACAACCAGATCTCCTTCTATGATAAAGGGACCCTCCTGGCTGATGAGGGAAAAGCTGTGGACAATGTTTATTTGGACTTAAGTAAAGCATTGTAACACTACAGGACTGGGGAAGAATACCTGGAAAGCTGCTTGGTGGAAAAGGACCTGGGGGTGCAGATTGGTGGAACTGAACATGAGCCAGCTTGTGCCCAGGCAGCCAAGAAGGCCAACAGCATCCTGGCCTCTGTCAGAAATAACAGCCAGCAGGACTAGGGCAGTGATTGTTCCCCTGTACTCAGCACTATTAAAGCTGCACCTCAAATACCACGTTCAGTTCTGGGCCCCTCACTACAAGGACACTGATGTGCTGGAACGGGTCCAGAAGATGGCAGCAAAGCTGGTGAAGGGTCTGGAGCACAAGTCTAACGAGGACCAGCTGAGGGAAATGGGGTTGTTTCCTCTGGGGAAGAGAAGGTTCAGAGGGGATCTTACTGCTCTCTACAACTACCTGAAAGGAGGATGGAGTGAGTTGGGGGTTGGTCTCTTTTTCCAAGTAACAAGCAATAGGACAAGAGGTAATGGCTTCAGGCAGTGACAGGGGAGGCTTGGATTGGATATTAGAAAAAATTTCTTCACCAAAAGGGTGTTCAGGCATTGGAACAGACTGCCCAGGGAAGCGGTGGAATCACCATCCCTGGAAGTGTTCAAAAACCATGTAGATGGGGCCCTCAGTGACATGGTCTAGTGGTGGTCTTGGCTGTCCTGGGGTAATGATTGGACTTGATGATCTTAAAGGTCTTTTCCAAACTAGTTGATTCTATGATTCTATGTTGACAGATTATGTTAATACTGTAAAATGCAGCTATTTTGTTTTTGCACAGTCAAAAATAATGCTCCCAGGAAGAAGTCACAGAAAGTATGTGGCAATTTTATGCAAATGAAATATATCCTATGAGTTTTTATAACAAAATTGAAGAAAAAAACCAAGCTTTTAAAAGCGGAGGATTTTGTTTCTTGGGAACCAGAACAACTGTAACAAAAGCAGATACTCACATGGCATACTGGATTTACCACTTAAAACATCCAAAAAGCAATGCAACAAAAGGCTTGCTGTGTTCCTGTAATTATGAGATACACATTAAATGCTTTTAAAATGTTTACATTAGTTAAAGACTTGCTCATCCTGGGTGCAAAGAAATCTGTGTGCTAGTTCATCCCTGCCTAGCTTCAGGGCTATTAAATGTCTTAGATACTGTTGATCCTATTCTACATTTTAGTTCCACAGCATAATATTCTCATACTAGAGGAAATTGACATCTTGACTAAAATGTTTCATAGTATGCAATTCCAGCAGATTTATGTGTGTACTTAAAGACAGATGCCATCACCTTTTATCATGTGAGAAGGGGAAGTGCTAACTGTCATCATACCCTGTGACATTTTATAGCAGGCAGGAAAAACAATGGTATTATTGAAATGTGGAGTTCAGAAACAGTAGGAGCTGGTTACATCGTGTGTGTTAAAATTTTAAGTTTTCACACATCTCCAGTGGAATCCCCAGAAATACCCTCACTTTCCTTCAGCACAGTGCCTGAAGGTATTACACCAGGTACAACACAGGATTTAGCAAGAAGCTTTATTCTCTAAGTAATAATTGCCAAGTACTAGCCAGATACCTCAATTTAAGTACCTTTTGAGAGAAAAAGCAAATCCCAGAATAATTTCTAAACTTAACCACAAATTCCAAACCCCACAGTATATTTGGAAGAAAACCAGACATAGCTAAGGGATGGAGAACTACACAGAAGCCGTGAAATGACACCCCTCTCTCCCTGAATTAACAACCAAATTGACAAATTGCCTTTGGTGCCTCAAGGCAAGAAACATACGGTGTCTACTGAAAATGCTTAGCTACAGAGTGGAATTGAAATGCCACAGTGTTTTTCACCCTGGCAAGGAGGAGAGCTAGTACAGAGCTGAGAGGGGATAAAGAGAACTCTTCAGTTCATTCCGTAATACATGAAGAAGGGAACATTTCTTAGCAAATATGTCATATTAGTGATTGTTATATTTACCTACATACATATATCTTGAAATGACATAGTGGTTTTCTCACTGCTAGGGTACAGTACAGAACAAATATTCACCTATTTATCTAGGGGCAATTGGGTCTTTGTTTTGTTTTTGCTTTATAAGAACAAAATATAAAGTAATTGGTTTGGGTGCTTTCTGAAACCCCCAATTTAACTGATTTCTCCCTTCCATTACGAGGATGGTAAGAGGTATAATTTTTTTAACACTTGAACCTGAGAGAACCTTTGATGTCCCAACCCCTCACAATCACCCAGTGAGATCTTACCAAGGCTCTGGGTTTCTTTTCCTTGGTGCTTGGACTTACTAGGAGTCTTTGAATAACAGCAGTTCTTCAAGAATGGGATATAGATAAAGAAATCCAGGATTGACAAGTTTGCATTCAGTGAGATCAGAGTCAGTGCAAGACTGAGTGGAAAAACAATGGCTAGGAAAATAAGGAGAGAAACAAGGAATGTTAAAAGAGCTGTGCAAGACAGACATTCGCTTTTCTAATCCACTGAGAATGATGAGTGTATTTCCTGGATCCGTGTTCCCCCACCCACGTAGCCAGAAAATAAACTTCACGGATTAATTTCTAGGAGCATGGAATGGTTTCCAAAGAACATTTTTAGCTGGGAAATAGATTCTCTTTTTCAAAGTACACATTCTCTCTGTCTTAGACTTAAAGAACTTGTCTGGCAAGCAGATGATTTTCTTTTACATTGGTATTACAAGAATTAGTTCAAATACTTTTTTTCTGTACTAGTTCTGTTTCTGTAGGCCCTGTAGGAAGATAGTTGTCAGCTGTTTTCCAGTATTCAGTGGTAAAATAGCTTTTTCAAGAAAGTGAAATCAAGAGCTTTCTCCTCCCTGACTGCTAGAATATTTGTCCTAAAGAAGAGGATGTAACATCAAAGGAAAATGAAATGCCTGATTGTAAGTAAATAATGAATTCACAGATAAAACTGTAGATGCTGTAGCTCTTTGCTTAGACTCTTCATCTCCCTGCAAAACCAGTAATTTTGTCTACATTGTTTGTGACTTTTCTGTGGAAAAGAGTAGGAATTAGATTCTTTATTCTATTTTGATGTCAAGGCAATCACCTTCAGGACAGGTTTCATTAATTACTTTATGTACTTGAAACCAGCAAATCTTCTTTTCCATGCAGAAGACCTATACTGTATGTTGCACTGCTGGATCTCCTGGATTTGTAGGGAAGCTGGTTTTCTGGATGGGATTTGTGAAAACTTCTGAGCCATAAGTACAAGTGAATCAAGGGAAATAGCCTAAAATCTTCCATTTCTATTCAGAGAACTTATTTATCTGGTGCTGACTGTATCATCGTTGTGCATGAGTTGTGTGGCAGGTATCACTAATCATGCACAGGTTATATCACCATCATGCTTTCTAGGCATGGATTTACTCTAGGGCTGGGAGCCTGTCACCTATTTCCCCTGCCTTCTCCCTGTGCTGCTGCCGCAGGAGCACTTGCTGCTGAGATCATATGAGGCTTCCGCTGCTCTCCATTCTAATACCACTTGCAGCTGCCTGCAGCCTTTCATGTTTACTTCAGCTTGGAGTTGTGTGTCTGCTGGGAAGGAAGTCCAGCCACGAGACACTTTAAGTACCAGTTTGATCTTTGTCAGTGAGATCGACTCAATTTAGACACATACTGTTGAGAGGTCAGATCTGGACTGGAATATGTTAAGAGCTGTCAGAACATTGTAAGTGGGAAAGACAGCCACCAAGGGTGTAATTCCAACAGAGAGTCTCGTAAAAGGGGATGTTTAATAGACCGTGGAGAAGTTAAAAAGAAGGATTAGACAACTTGTGGGGTCAAGTGCACTTAAGTAATCATAAATCCATAGGGTGGTGCAGTAATTAAAAATGTTCCTGTACTCACTTGGTTGGCCTCAGTTTCAGAGCTGTGTCTAGTACAGCTCTGACAGAAGCCCCTTCAGTTCCAAGGGGCTTTTGCAATTGGTCCAAAACACACGAAAGCTTTAAAATTTATACATAGGGTTAAACTTAAAATGACGAGTGGGAGAAAATACCCTATTTATTCAGACTCTTGAATAAACAAATTTAACCACTCTGTTCTCTGAAGTGAAAGTATTTGTGATAGCTGTCTGGAAAGCAAAACTGAAAAAAAAAGAAGTTTCAATTCTTATATTATCATGTTCAAAAGAGACTATTTTTATTAAACATGGTACCTTAAGAGCCTTGATAATGGTTTTCAAAAGCACTTTGATGCTAAATATGTGTAAAGAGCATAAGCAACTTTGTTTCTTAAAATAATAGGGCATTAATTAATTGGGAAAATAAATGTTTCCCTTGGCTTACTACCTCTAGTAAACACACAAGAGTTATGCAACTCCATTAAATGCTTAGAACAATATTTCCAGTTCACACTTTGCTTATTAAATTAATAGAGTGTTTTCCTACACACCAGGCCAGAATCACATGATGAAATTCGAACTGATTGCTTTAGGCTTTCATTCTCTTTGCTTATTTGGGTCAGGCATTTAGGAAGAAGATAAATCTAATATAAAAAATGTTAACATTCTCCTTAAAAACACATCTTAAGAACTATGAGAGTTGCTGTTCTGTTCTTTGTGATGTGCATCTTGCTAAGTTCATGTTCTGATTTACTTATATCTTTTAAGGGAAGGAAAGTTGACGCCCTCCTCAAAGCAGCAATGGAATTGTATGAACCTGAGGTCTGTAAATGCTGGAAAGAAGAGGCAGGAAAGGACTGCCTGCTAATAAAAGGGTAATTCAGAATACGATACTTATGTGACCCAAAATAGCACTGCTGTTTCTCTCATATTATATTTCTTGTATTTGGCATACAAAAATTCAGCCAGGATCCTCGCTTCTTAAAAATCCTTTTTACATGAAAAGTGACCTTTCCTCCTTAAATGTCCTGCCTCTCTTCTTCTTTATACAAATTTCAGTCATGTGGGGTGGAAGAAAGTAGCTTGTCCTGCCACCCTAACAAAGGTTTTCAGGAAAGTGAAGCTAGGACTGGGTCTGGAGTTTATATGGAAAGTGGTGGAGCCTGGTTTGCCGGAATAAAACTGATGAAGTTAACTAACAATGTACTACTAAGGATTTTTTTTTTTAATATACTTATTTTAATACCTTTTTATACTGAAGGCAAAAGTCAAAATCAGTAATACAGACACTGCCTTGAACCACAAGTGAAAAGCCTCACAGGCATTTCCAGGGTCTGGGAAGGATTTCAGAGGGTAATGGTAGAGCTGCCATCCTGGATTCTTTGCAGGCAGCATCTTCAGGTGTTTTGGACAAACATCTGTTAGACCATCAGTATAGGGAGAAAAAGGAGGTGCAGTTTTGGTAACACTTGGGAACTCCTTTGCCAGATGTTGGTAGTGACACTTCAGGTATTTTAGCGTGAAGCTGTAATGTGATATGTGAAAATCCAGAATCCTGCCTTCCTGCATGGATAATGAGGACCCATATTTCTTTCCAGTATTATGTGCAGAAAACATTTGTTCCTATATTCTGTTCCTGAAGTAAATATGTTCTCTTATTACCATACATTTTGAAATTGGGCAAAGCATGAAAGCAAAATAATGAGAAGCTGTATTTCTGCCTGTGTCTAAGTAAGATAATAGGGAGTCTCACAGGGGATAAAAGTAAGCCACTTTGTTTCTTTCTTAACATTATTTTTTGTTTCGCCCATTCTGAACAGTACAGGCAGGGAAACAGAAAACTGCCTTTCTTCTTAAATTATTTCACAGGCCACTGACAGCACATCTCCTTCTGCATTTGTATAGCACCAAGCACAGGAAGGCCTTACTCCATGACTATAATTTCACCCAGATAATTCACATTAGTGATTTGTTGTGCAAAAGCAAACCCGTTCTCCACCAGTAATGTCCTGTTCCCTGCTGGGAGGAAGATGGCAGGTTGTTCTGTGCCCAGTGGGCATGGTGGGGGTGAGCCCATGGAAGCACCCCCCCAGCTGGAGCCTTTGGTCTTCCTTCTTGCAGATGGGTGCTACTAAAGATGCCCAGCCCAGGCAGCATGGAAGACTGGAGATGTTGGCCTTGCCTCTCCTAGCAAGCTCTAAAGCTGCTGCTTCACCCCACAAGCTGCTATAGGGTGGGTGCCAGGAACTGGTAACATGCTGGGCTACAAGTGCTGGCAGTTGGAGGCAGTCTGCCAGGGAAAGACTGCATCATGAGGCCTCAAGGCAAGCGTGGAAGCAAGGGTTAAAATGGCAGGAAAGCTTGCCCACTGGAAAACAGGATTTTTTCCATAGTCACTTCCCAGTCTTGGATATACAGTCTCTAGTTGCAGAAGGGATTCAGAACTGGCACAGGTAGCCTCTTAGGTATTAGGCTGCCCTGTGTGCTTGGCACCAAATTCAGACAATTTTGAGAACAGTTCAGATCTTCTGGCAATTGTTTTATTATTTTTTTGTTTGTTTGTTTTGGATTGTTGGGGTGGTTTTTTTTTGGTATTTCTTTCCATAAGAAAGCAGTTCTATTTTTAGGACTTGGCCCAAATTGTTGAACTGCGCGGTTTGAGCTTTACTGTTGTTTTTCCTCTCCTCAATCAAAATGAAGTGGTTCTGGCTGATCCAAGCTGATCAATGCTGCTGCTTCTCTTAAAGTTACATTTGAGGAGATGTTGTGAGTGCATGGATCCATATGTGGGCATGGAAAGTTTCTCTCTATTTCCTGGAATGAAAGGGGTCTTTGCTTCCTCCAACTCTATACTCTGTGCTTGTAAATGTCTCTGTTAAGACTAGTTTTATAGGATCATGGAATCATAGAATAGTTAGGGTTGGAAAGGACCTTAAGATCATCTAGTTCCAACCCCCCTGCCATGGGCAGGGACACCTCACACTAAACCATGTCACCCAAGGCTCTGTCCAGCCTGGCCTTGAACACTGCCAGGGATGAAGCATTCACAGCTTCTTTGGGCAACCTATTCCAGTGCCTCACCACCCTTACAGGAAAGAACTTCTTCCTTATATCCAATCTAAACTTCCCCTGTTTAAGTTTGAACCCATTACCCCTTGTCCTATCACTACACTCCCTAATGAAGAGTCCCTCTCCAGCATCCCTATAGGCCCCCCTTCAGATACTTGAAGGCTGCTTTGAGGTCTCCACGCAGCCTTCTCTTCTCCAGGCTGAACAGCCCCAACTTCCTCAGCCTGTCTTTATACAGGAGGTGCTCCAGTCCCCTGATCATCCTCATGGCCCTCCTGTGGACTTGTTCCAACAGTTCCATGTCCTTTTTATGTTGAGGTCACCAGAACTGCACACAATACTCCAGGTGAGGTCTCACGAGAGCAGAGTAGAGGGGCAGGATCACCTCCTTCAACCTGCTGGTCACGCTCCTTCTGTGGATCATTGTGAAGGGAGGCCAGCCTAAAATATGAGATGTCATTAAAGTGAATTATATTTGAAGCTTGTCTCCCCAATCTCTTCTGTTTTCTTTCTTGCTGCAACTGTATACCATTGTGTTTCAATGTATAGTGTTTGTCTTCAGCCTGTACAGATGCCAGACCACCCCGTTTTTATCACCTGTGGAAAGTCAGACAGCATAACAAACAGATGACCAGAGCAGTGATTGAGGCCAGGTATCCCTATCCCCTCTCTCCTTTGGCTCTGGCACATATGTAGACCATGCACACACAAGTTAGCTTCTGCATGAAAGGTTAATATTGCTTTGTGGTGCTATGCTTCAGCTAATATGCTTTTATTACCTCTGCTGCTTCCAGGGCCCTTGTGATTAAAGTTAACATGGAGAGCTACCCCTCTTCATCCTCTGTACATAATGTACAGATTACCAGTCGCTCTCCCTTTGTCCAAGAGCATCTATCCTTCTGTTGCACAGGGTGTCTGAGCAGGCGGGAGGGCACGTGCCTGTTACTGGCTGGATTGGGAACTTTGCAAAGAAATAGGAAAGGGCAGAGTCTGTTTTGAATTTTGAGCCGAATTTTGAAGGACCAAGGTGAGTAAGAGTCAGCCACTTCCCTTCCAACAGCAAATGTCAACCAGGCCACTGTAGACTGTCCTGAGGTCAGTTTTGCAAATCAAACCTCTGCCCTGTGTTGTAATTTAGGCTGCTTTCCCACAGGCTGTGAATTTGAAGAGGGGAAGTTTCGTTGCAATAACTGCGTACAACACATGGGCCACAGAGGACAGAGTTAAATCTGTACCTCTCCTTCAGGGTTTCCCTGCTTACTAGCTTGAGGAACTCTCTAGTGTTAGTCTAGCAGCACACAGGGTGAATACCATTCCCTGTAGCCACCCCCTGCACAGTGCCTGGTAGTAGGAGCCCAGCACTGCAGGGCTGGGTGCCGGCTTTCTAAACATGAGGCATTCCCACAGTGCTGCCTCTGAATCACTTTCTGGATGGAGGATTCTGCTCTTACTAATGAGTGTAGAATTAAGGTCTTCTTTCCAGGATTTAAGGGCATCCAAAAGATCCCAGGTCATTTTTTTTAAACATTTGAGTGCCCTCATCAAAACCCTAACAAATGGCCAAACCATTTTTGGCAGTTTCCAAATGTAGGTCTAGCCCCAGGTCTTAAATCCTATAGGGAAAAAGGCATTTGTGTGGAGTTTAGCATTTCCTGGGTCAGAAGTGTCCTGGCTTTTTTCTGCTTCTGTCCCTGCCTTCCAGAAGTTCAGAAATGTGTAAAGGTCAAAACAGATCTTATTTCCCCTTTTTCTTGATTTCCATTTTGTTTTCCTTAGGCAGCTGTGACATTTTCTTTCTTATATCAGCTTGAAATTAATAGATATTCAGGAAACATTCATTCTGTTGTATGTGTTGTTTTTCTCCTAACTTTCCTGCCAACATTCTAACAAAGCAATGTTCACCTAGCAAGGAAACTGAGGTGATTATATGATAAAAAGTACATTTTTCAAAGGAAAGGGGGTGTTGGATTCAGTTTTCTGGGCAAATTCTCATGCAAGTAATTACATTCTTCCTATTGCATTCCTCTGCCACTTCAATTGGATATGGTGTTCTTCCTCAGTTTGAGCCCTACACTTTTGCACAGCACTGTTGAGTACTGTTAGATATTTATTGTCCACCATTCCAGCAACCATTCCTTCACTATAGAGGCAGTGATTAAGCCACTGTACAAGTAAAAATTGGTAGCATATTCTTGTGGTGTTAACCATCAAAAATACTTATTAGTCCAAAACTTTCAGAGTAAAACATGTTTTTAACCATGAGTAGGTAATACAATAACTTGTGACGTAAATCAGTAACACAATTAGCTATGGTTGCTTTCAAATGAGGAATGTTTGATGGTGACTTTGGTACAGCAATATAAGAGAATCATGGTAGGCCACCTGTATTGATACCTTCAAACTGTGATCACTGTTTTACAGCAGAAGCTGACAAGTTATGTTGGTGGGTGAATTAGAGTGTTTCTGTAAGCAGAGAAAGAAAATGGTCAGGGCCATCTGGCCCGCAGCAAAAATCTGGAGCAGGGAAGATGACGGCTGTTCCCTTGGTGTGTTCACAGTAGGTATGAGAAGTTCAGGTGTTAATTAAAAAAGCCCTGTACGTGACCACTAGCTAATTACAGGGAATGTTTCCGCTACTCCCTGATAATCATGGCATTTCGCAGCTCCCTACCAGTAGCAAGTTTTTTTTTCCCTCCACGTTTCAGCTCATTCATTCAATAGTGGCAGAACCGGGACCTGCAAAGCTCTTGTTAGAATGCTGATTTTAACTTCTCTTTAATTTCACCATGTTACAGAAAAAATATCC